CCCTGGGCAGCCCATTCCAACGCCCAACAGCCCCTTCTGCACAGAAATCCTTCCTCAGAGCCAGCCTGACCCTGCCCTGGGCAGCTTGAGGCCATTCCCTCGGGGCCTGGCGCTGGGGCCTTGGCTCCAGAGACTCATCCCCCCTCTCTGCCCCCTCCTGGCAGGGAGTTGCTGAGGGCCAGGAGGTCTCCCCTCAGCCTCCTCTGCTCCAGACTGAACCCCCCCAGTTCCCCCAGCCGCTCCCCAGCAGACCTGTGCTCCAGACCCTGCCCCAGCCCCGTTGCGCTTCTCTGGCCACGCTCGAGTCCTTCAATGGCCTTTTTGGGGTGAGGGGCCCAGAACTGAACCCAGGAATCGAGGGGCGGCCTCCCCAGTGCCGAGCCCAGGGCTCAGATCCCTTCCCTGTCCCTGAACCTTCTCCCCTGAAGATGCCTTCCCATTACAGGGTGACTCTTAGAGCAGTAAGTTTCACATTACCTTTAAATTGTGCTCGTGACACAAGACTCTCAGAGGGGGGGAGATGGCTGCAGGTTTAAGCAGCCTCGAGCTCTATTGCTAACACAGGCCAAGGGAAGACCGAAAACTCCACAGAACCTGTTTTGTTCCTGTTGTTAAATTGTTTGGTGAGGATACCCAGATATTGCAGCAGGTTGAAAATGCAGAAACATGCATCATTCCCGTTAACCTCCAGTTAACAGTCTGCTTGGATCACCTACAGGAAGAGAGCAGCATCCTGGTTGTCTGTGCCTGGGATGTTACAGCTGGTTGATTGCTGTCACATGTCGCCTTGTACTGAGTGCGGACACACTCCTGGAGGTATTTAAAAGACACGTAGATGTGGCACTGAGGGACATGGTTTAGCCGTGGACTTGGCAGCGTTAGCTTAACAGTCGGCCTCGATGATCTTAAGGGTCTTTTCCAACCTAAATTATTCTGTGATGCCTTCACGTTTCTATCCTGCCTTGACATTTGCAGGTATATAACGTGCTGCAGCAGAAGACTAAGGTGGAGGAAGATGACCTCAAGGACAGAGATGTCCCTCACAAGAGCAGAGCAGTAGGATAAGTGCCGTGACAAGGCCCACGATAAATGCAGATTAGGGCCACGGTACTTTAGGCTTGTGTGTGTCAAATCATGAAACTGTGGTTAGAAATGCTGGCGTACAGACAGCGCATTTCTTCCTGACAGGGGTTAGTTTGTCAAGTGAGACACAGATTAGCTGCTGCCGAGAGCTACGTTCTTCCTCATCCTGGCCACAGGTTTCCTGTGCCCTACCGAACATCACGCCGCTTTCTGGTGAAACAGAAGACATTCCATTTACAAGTTCTTTCCTACCTCAAGCAAAGAATCATCTTTTCATACAGCTGTGGCCACCTCTTCATACTGCTGTGGCCACCTCTTCATACTGCTGTGGACACCTCTTCATACTGCTGTGGACACC